GGAGAATAGATTAATGAGAGAACAAAATGCTAGCAGAGTAACCACGTCCCCAGAAAATATACTCTAAACAAATCAGAAAAGACCTGAAGCAGTGGGATAAGAAGGGGAAAGAGAGAAAAAAGAAAAAGAAAAAAAAAAGAAAAAGATAAAGATAAAAACAAAAACAAACAAAACAAAACAACAACAACAAAAGAAAAACCAGAATGTGATCAAATATGATCTATATGGTATATAGATCAGTGCCACACACTAGATTTGGGGTGTGTTTTGGTCTTTTAGAAGAAAGTGTCTCCCAAAATTTTAAAGAAAGAAAAAGATATATGTACAAAAATAAGGGTTGATATGATGAAGGGATAGAAAATGACTGTAAAAATGGAAATTATAAAAAATTTTATAAAAGGAATTGATAAGAAGTTGTTTGAAAAAGAAAGAAGAAGATTTAAAAAAGAAAAAAGAAAAAGAAAAAAAAGGGAGAGGATGTGATCAGGCAGGGGAATAGAAAACACCATATACTAGAGATTTAGGGTATATTTTAATCTGTTAGAAGAAACTATCTCAAAATTTTAAAGAGAGAACAACTTATATATATAAGCCAAAAATATGGGTAACTACTATGAAGGGATAGAATATGACTCTAAAAATGAAAAATAAAAATGTTTTTTTTTTAAAAAAAGGGATTGATAAGATGTTGTTTGAAAAAGGGAAAAAGAAAAATTCAAAAAGAAATAAAAAGACAAAAAGACAGTTAAAAAAAAAAATTAACTTTAAAAGACTAAGGAATCATGGTAAAAAAGCCGTGAATTCTATTTGCAGTATTCCCCTAGCGCTGGAGTTCTGCCGTTCTCATTGATCGGTAAACTTGGTCTTGGCTGGCTGTTCTCGCTGATCTTCTGGGGAGGGGCCTGTTGCCGTGGTTTCCAAATGTCTCTGCCGGAGGCGGAATTGCCCCGCCCTTGCCCCCTCCCGGCTAAGTCATCTGCTCAGGTTTGCTCTCCGGGGCTTTTGTTCCCTGCGAGCTTTCCGTACAGCTTTGGAGGCGGAGCGTGAAAATGGCGGCCTCCCAATCTCCGCCCCAGAGGAGCCGAGAACTCGGGCCCGCTCCTCAGTGCGTCCCCAGAGAAAAGCCGTCAGTCACTCCCGTCTCCCCGGTCTCCGGCTGCACTCCATGCTCATCCGGCCTGTGACCGCGCGTTTCTATCTCTGGCACCCGACCCCGGGTGGAGTCTCCAAACCCAGCAGATCCCTGCGGTGCCCTCCCGCGCGGCTCCTCCCGGGAGAGGAAGGTGAGTCTCCCCGGATCTGCCGCTTGTTGGGTCCCTGCTGGAGGAGCAGTGGCCCGGCTGTGCCGCGGATCACGGTTTATGTCAACCCCGAGCTGAGAGCCCACGCCTGGGCTCCGCCTCTGCAGCCGGCTTCCCTGCTCCGATACCTGGGAGCTCTGCCGCCCTCAGGCACCCCCGGTCCTTCTGTGACCCCGAGGGTCCTGAGACCACACTGTCCCGGAGGGTTCCACCCCCCGCTTAGCCACCAGAGTGACGTCCCTCGGCGGAGCAGACTTTTAAAAGTTCCGATTTTGTGCTCCGCGGCTCTATCACTTGCCAGAAGCGGCCGACGGAGGCCCCTCCCCCGCCGTCTATCCTCCCGAATATCGCCTCGGATTCACTTCTCCGCACGTCCTACCTTCCAGAAAGTGGTCGCTTTTCTGTTCAGAAAGTTGTTGCTCTTCTTTTCTTTGATCTCCTGTTGGGTTTGTAGGTGTTCAGAATGGTTTGATCCCTATCCAGCTGAATTCCTGAGAGGAGACGAAATCCAGGTCTCCTACTCCTCCGCCATCTTGCTCCCTCTCCCATTGTAACTTATTTTTAAAGGTATTTCCTGGAGCTATTTCTTGCCTTCAGATCCTTGTTACCTATGATCATAACTTGACTCTAAAAATTCTTGTGGATTTTGCCACTTTCTAATTCAGACCCCCAATTTAAATTAAAATAAAAAGTAAATTTTTGTATTGGGGGGGTTTTTTGGTTGTTTGTTGTTGTTGTTGTTTTTTGGTACACAAAATATCTTTGATTTTCCTAAATGTTAGTAACACAAAGATTTTTATCTTCATTTTATTTTAAAAAACACAAAAGGAATAATTAGATTTGCTTGATCTCTCCAAATTTTACTTATCTCAACACTATTGTGAGCCTTTTTTTATTTATGAAATTTAGGATTAAAAATAATCCGAAAAAATTTCAGATTTCAGCCTTCCTAGTTCAAGTAAAATGTGTTAATAAAATATGCTTCAATGATTGTGTACTTTTCAGACTTAAAAAAATCATACTCAAATTCGAGACTGATGAAGTGTCTGTCTATAAAAAGATTTGTTTTTCAGTAAAATATTTTTCTCAGTCAAGGCCATTTATATAAAGCTAATATAAAAAAATTAAAGGTCTAAAAGTTTTATTAATGCTCTCAGTTTTCATAACATCAACTTATTCTCCCAAAAGTCATTAATTGAGAACAAATTAATTGTATGTGGTAGCTCAGCGAAGAATCTCACTCTCCTCTGTTGTCATAATTATGTTGCTCTAATAAATTAGCCAGTGCTATTCGGTCATATGATCCATACATACCAACTGCCCTCCCAAGAAACCATCTAATTATTTTCTACATGATTTTTGACCAATAGATTGGGTATTTTGAAAACAGCATGGGAAAACATGCTTGTTGGAGAAGACCTAGCAAGGGACTGATCCTTGCATAAATGCCTCTGGGTGAAAACACAATCTTTTCTCCAACTCTAAAAATGAGGAAGATGTCACTATTCAAAGCCATAAGCTGAAATTCTCAGAGAATGTCCAGAAGCAAAAAGTCCACAGAATTTAAGACCTAGTAAACTGCTAGCTCTAAATTTTCAGAATAAGGGATTTCTACCGGAGGGAAATAACTTCTGCCCAAGACCACTGAGTTAAGATGCTCCCTGCTGAATTGTGGGCACTTCTTTACATTTTTTTTTGGTCTTCTTAGCCATTTCTCCCCATTTTGCTGGTTTAAATTCTTAAGTTCTTAGTAAACAACTCTGCCCTATAATCATGGTACTGCTAACACCATACATCTGATAATCACAAAATCTAGGATTAGGACATAAGCACCGCGGTTCAAGAGGTCATGATTATGTATCTTACCAGATGTGTTCCTTTATCCTTCAGTGTAGGCTGATTTACAGCGTTATTCGAGTCTCCTATATCTGAGTTTCTGTCCACTTGCTCTGTCAATTACTGATAGAAAAGTATTGACATTCCTAATGATAACTGTGCATTTATCTATTTCTCCCTTCAGTTTTTTGCCTCTTGTATATCGATGCTTTGTTCTAGGTACAAGTGAACTTAAGATTATTATGTCTTCTTGATAAAGTGTCATTATAAAATGTCCTTTATCCTTAGTAATATGTATATTTACCATTCTAAAGTTGACTTTATCTGATATTAATATTGTCTTGTCACTTCCGCTTTCAAATAGTATTTGTAGGGCATACCTTTTCTCACCTTTTTATTTTTAGTCCATTTCTTTATATTTTAAAGTGTTTCTTATAGATACCATTCAGTTGGATTGTGTTTTTTATCCAGTCTGACAGTTTTCCTTTTACTTGAGGTATTTAGCCAATTTACATTTTAATGTGATTATCATTTTGTTTAGGTATAAATCTTTCTGGGATAACTACTTTGATGTGTCAACTTGACTAGGCCATGACAGCCAGGTATCTGGTCTAGACATCAGTCTAGTATATGTGCTGCCGAAGCGAGCACTAGACATGAGTCTAGAAGTCTCTGTGAAGGTATTTTTTTAAATGAGATTAGCATTTAAATTAGTACATCTTGAGTAAAGGGAATTACTCTCTATAATGTGAATAGGCCTCATCCAATCAATGGAAGGCCTTAGGAGAAAAAGACTGAAGTCTCCTGAAGAGGGAATTCTGCCCCGAAATTGCCTTTGGACTCAAGCTACAGTAGCAACTCTGAGTCTCTAGACTGCCAGCCTGCCCTGCACACTTTGGACTTACCAGCCCCAATAATTACGTGAGCCAGTTCCTTAAAATAACGCATCTCTCTCTTCCATTTGTTTCACCTCTTCTTTGTGTCTTCTATACTTTTTTTTTTGTATTTTTAAAATTAGTTGTGTATTTTTTATTATACCATTTTATTACAGTTATCACTTATTCATTCCACCTCTTTTTTTTCTCTTTTAATGTTCGATCTTGGGTTACAATATAAAGTTTTAACTTATCATAGTCTTTACCATTAAATAATTTTAAACTGATAATATATAAGGCCTTTACATTCATATGCTTTCATTTCCCTCATCCTCCTATTATGGCAGTACATTTTATTTGTATATATGAATGTATGTTATGAATTCCTCAATAAAATGTTATTATTTTTGCACTGAGTAGTTATTTCTTTAAAACATTTTAGACTATTATTTTTTAATTAATTGTTTAATATTTAAAAATATATCATTATATTTCCCCATGATTACTATTTCCATTGAAATACATTACTTTGGTAGAAGAAAGGTTCTAACTCATCCTAAAGAATATTCTTTAACATAGTGCAAATTGTCTGAGAACAAACCCATTTAATATTTCTGAGTCTGAAAATGTCTTTAAATCACCTTGATTTTTGCTCCAAATAGAGGACAAATGGCATACAGTTACGAGTATGTTGTGTATCTGCTAATTTACTAGACATAGCTGACAGCCTCTTCTTCCTTCACAATTGATATCTAAGGAATCTGCCTTAAATATCAAAATACTCCAAACAATTCTATCCTTCAAATTCTCTCTCTCCAGCTACCCACTTGTTATGGACTGAATTGTGTCTCCCCCAAATTCATAGGTTGAAGCCCTAACCTCCAACGTGACTGTATTTGGAGATAAGACCTTTAAGGATTAAGGTTAAATGAGATCACAAGGGTGGGGCCCTAATGAGACACCAGCAATCTCTTTCCTCTCTCTCCAGGTGTGTGGAGAAAAGGCCATGTGAGGACACAAGTGGGAAGGCGACCACCCGCAAGCCAGAAAAAGCGGTCTTCAACCGTACTGGTACTTTGATCTTGGACTTTCAGCTTTCAGAAAGGGGCGCCTGGGTGGCTCAGTCTTTAAGCGTCTGTCTTGGCTCAGGTCATGATCCCAGGGTCCTGGGATCGAGCCCCACATTGGGCTCCCTGCTCGGCAGCAGGCCTGCTTCTCCCTCTCCCACTCCCCCTGCTTGTGTTCCCTCTCTCGCTGTGTCTCTCTCTGTCAAATAAATAAAATCTTTAAAAAAAAAAAAAAAAGAACTGTAAGAAAGTAAAATTCTGTTGTTTAAGTCACCCAGTCAGTGGTATTTTGTTAGGGCAGCCTGAACAGACAAATACACCATCCCACCCCCAATAAATAATAACAATACATTGCACGCTTCCTATTGGTTAAACATCGAACTTTGCATTTTTTCTTATTTAGTCCTCACCAAACATCTAAAAGTAGGTATTATTTTATGATGAGCAAACTGAAGTTCAGACTGCTTAAGAGATCTGACCACAGTAACACAACCCATGAAGCCAGGATCAAATGCTGAGCTTCTCATTTAGTTAAAAGTCTATGCTTTTTTTCTTTTTACTTTTTTTTTTTTTAGTTCTAGTGATTAAAAGCATGAACTTCTGGAGCCAGACTTCTTGGTTTCAAATTCTAGCACCAATTCTTACTGGTTAGCCTTGAGTAAGTTACTTTGACTCTGTAGCTCTGTTTTCCCATCTATAAAATGAGAGAATAGATTCTCCCTATAAGATTATCATAAGAACTAAGTAAAAGAATAAGAACAGTGCCTGGCAAGTAATAAGTGCTATGTGTTTGCTATAATTATTTTTAGTATTATTATATTACATTTTCTTATCATTGTGAGGTGTTTTACCACACATAATTTAATTTTCTCAATAGCCCACTAAAATAGGGAAGACAGATATTTTTCCTGTCATTATTGTACAAATTCAGCCCAAAGAAGATATATTTTGCTGAAGGGCTCAGAATCCAAATATAAATCACTGTTGTCCATTTCTGTTGCTCTCCATTGCATTTTAGGTGTAATAAAATTGAAGAGCGTATCAGCAAATAATCTTCATAATCCTGTTGTTCTGGGCACCTGGGTGGCTCAGTCAGTTAACCATTTGTCTCCAGCTCAGGTTATGATCCTGGGGTCCTGGGATACAGCCCCATGTCAGGCTCCCTGCTCAGCGGGGAGTCTGCTTCTCCTTCTCCCTCTTCTTCTGTCCCTCCCCCTGCTTATGCTCTCTGTCAAATAAATAAGTAAAATCTTTTTAAAAAATTCATTGTGTTGTTCTGTCATCTTGATTTTTAAATGATACTTTTGTTTAATAAAATTTCTAGATAGGTCTTTTTATTTCTTTTAACATTTTAAAGGGTTAATTTCATTGTCTTCTGACATAATTTCTTATGAGAAGTGTGCAGTTATTTGTATTCTGTAGCTTTTAAACTTTTCTCTTTTTTCTCTGGCTGGTTCTAAGATGTTCTCTTTATTATTCATTTACAACAATGTGATTGCAATGCACTTTTTTGTGATTATTCTTTGCTTATCCTATTTGAGGCTCATTAAGATTCTTTGAATTGTGTTACAGTGTTAAGTTTCCATCAAATTTGGAAAGATTTGAACCATTATGTTTTCAAATGATTTTCCAGCCCTTTAGACTTCTTGATATTTTCCCACAGGTCATTGAAGCTGTATTTTTAATTTTTACATCTTTTTCGTCTCCATTCATTTTTGATAGGTTGTATTACCATATCTTCAAGTATGTTGTATGTTGTATTCAAGCATGTTGTATTTTCTTCTATAGCCTCTAAATCTGTGATTAAAAAATTTTCATTTTAGATAGGGCATTTTTTATCACTAGAGTTATAGTTGAACCTTCTGTATATCTTTCATATCTCCTCTCATCATGTTGTTTTTCCTTTAAATTCTTAAGTGCATAGAATATATTTATAATGGCTGCTTAGAATTCTTTGCTAATTCCATCATCTTTGTCACTTAAATACCATTTCTATTGAAAAATTTTTTTCATTTGTTTATTGGTCATATTTTCTTAGTTCTTTACATATCTAGAAATTTTTGTTTGTATGGTAGGCACTGTATTTTTTACATTTTGAATGCTTGATAAAATTGTATTTCCTTAAAAAGTATTGGGCTTTGTTCTAGTAGGAAGTTAACTTATTTAAATATCCTTTTGCTCTTTGGGGCTTGCTACTAATCACATTTTAGGATGGCACCAGAGTAATCTTTTCTCTAGATCCAGTTTAGCCCATGACCAAGGCATGATCATCTGGAGTCTTTACTGAATTCCCTGTATATTCAGCCAGGTTTCTCTTTTCTGCATAGTAAAAACTTAATTTCCAATCATCTATAAACTCTGAAAATAGATTAACTCAGATTTCCTCAGTAATTATCCCTTTCTTAGATTTCTTCTTTTGGTTTTATGCCCTATGCATGTGCAAAATGGTTACAGTCCAAAGATTTAATGGGATGTCTGTGTATATTTCTTGAGCTTTTTCTCTGCATAGCTCATTCTTCTACAGCACTCATCCCTTAAAAATGTAGCTGCCTCAAAATCCTTGAAATCCTATCTTTGTCACTTCAACTCAGCAAGACTATTGATTTCTTCTTTGTGATGCTGGCCAGTAATTTCTTCCAAGAAGAAATCTGGGAGAATAAAATGATAAAGTTAATACTTTTTTTTCCCCCTTTTCTGAAATAACAGTCTTGAACTGGCATTTGTTTCATGTCTGAAAAGAGTTTTACTTATAGTGCCCAGTTTTTTAGTCATTTTTGATAGTAAGATAAGTATAAACCCTTATACTCCATCATAACCAGAAGTAAAATTCCAAATAACTTTTTTTTTAAATATTTAATTTATTTATTTGACAGAGAGGGAGATAGCGAGAGCAGGAACACAAGCAGGGGGAGCGGGAGAGGGAGAAGCAGGCCTCCCACCGAGCAGGGAGCCCGATGTGGGGCTCGATTCCAGGACCCTGGGATCACGACCTGAGCCGAAGGCAGATGCTTAACAACTGAGCCACCCAGGCACCCCTCCAAATAACTTTTAAGACAGGATTTATACAGCCATGGATGTACTTCAAAGCCTCAGATTTCTTCATCTCAAGGAAGACAACAATAAAATATTTTCTGAGTCAGCACAAATCTGACTCAAGATTTACTTCAACATATGATACTTTAAGTCTGAATCTAAACACCATATGTGTTAATTCCACAACAGTATAGAAAATAACCTTTTCACTTCTTGCAATATCCACCACTAAATCCTGGCTCAGCGGTTTTACATACTAATCTTCACTCCTTTGAAGGATTTTAATACCAAATCAAAAAGAGTGGTAGGGAGTGGTTTTCTCCACACACATCAATTCAAAACAATATCAGCATCTCTAAAATTACATGGAACCTGAGATCTCTGAAGAAATCTTTTATTTCACTGCAGGTGACACCTCTCTGGTTTTATGTTAAGTTTTCTTTGCTCAGTAATTTCTTTTTGCAAAATCAAAGAGGGGCCACTATCAAATCAATACAGCAAAATATTCAAGAACCAAGATGGATGCAAGGTAATATAATCTTTTTACATTCAGTACAGCTGCTTAAAAATGCTGAGTGATGTGGCATTTCATGCTCTGTGACTCTAACTCAGATTGGTTTTTACATCCCACCACTCTGCCAGCCTGCCATGAAACTGACCATCCCGCAGAATTTGACTGTTCTTCACTAGGACAAGAAAGAGGATATCTAGACATACAGAATTGTCACGTAAGTCCACTATGCATAACTTCAGGAAGGCAAACAGCCAAGGTGAAGATCTTGGATAGAATTCTCAAAGGAGGACAAAAATTCAGAAAGAAAGAAAAAGAAATGGCACTACTAGCAAATAGCAGCACTAAAGTAGGTGGGAATATCAGAAAGGATATGAAGAACCAAAGGGAGGACATAAAAGGAAACTATACATCTATATATTTAGAACATGTTAATAGATGAGAAGATTCAATATTAAAACCTGTCAATCTTTACCATGTTAATTTGTAAATTCCATTCATTCATAACTTGAATCCAAACAATGTTTTCATGAACTTGAAGCCAGGATTTAAAATTTCAAATGGCATAATAATGGCTTAAGAATATCCAAGATAAATCTTTTTTTTAAGAATTTATTTATTTATTTTAGAGAGAGAGTGAGAGAGTGGCAGAGGGAGAGGGAGAAGCAGGCTCCCCGCTGAGCAGGGCGCCCGATGTGGGGCTCGATCCCCGGACCCTGGAATCATGACCTGAGCCGAAGGCAGATGCTTAACTGACTGAGCCACCCAGGTGTCCCATCCAAGATGAATCTAAAATAAATGTGCAAAGGCAAGAGATTTGCCCTAACAGATAATAGTATTTCTTATAATTATATAGGAATTAAAATTATGTGACATTAATACAGGAGTAAACAAATAGATCAATAGAGTAGAAAAGGCAAGGGAAGGCGTGTATATACCACTTGATATGTAGTAGTACTGACATTATATATCAGTGGGCCTTTCAATCTTTTGATGAATTTTTCCATAAATACCTTTAGAGCACTAAGCTCTCTGTAAGGAATAAAATAGTAGATCCTTATAACACACCACACAAAAATAAATGCTAAATGAAGATCATGTAGATCAGTTTCCCCAGGAAACAACTCTTAAATTTGTGTGCAAAAGGGTGACTGGGGAGGGCTCATAAGAGTGAGAGAAACAGTATCAGACAGAGAGAGAAGTTGCACTTTAATTCAGTTGCCACAGAGGTTTCAGCTGACTGCATGGGGAGATTTGGGACCTGTGAAGGCTCTTCAGAGACATCCTGAACTGCAAAACAGGCTGCCCCCAGGATGAGGAGGAACATTTTGGGGAGCAGCACCCTTTGGCTGAGGACAATTCCTATGGACGGATCCAGCTATGAAACCTCATCAGGACCATGGGATCTTATGGTCACAGGCCTACTGCTGTACCTCCTTTGCTATAAAGTTAGTCCCTTAGTTTGAAGCAATTGTATGCAGAATCCCTGTCAGTGGTTGAAATAGTCTATAAGTCTTTAGATAATGGGGCTTGAAGTCCTATAAGCAGGAAAGGCAAAACAAGTCAATTCCCTTTAAGATGAATTACTACCCCTTCAGGGTGGAAAAGGTCTGATATAATCAATCCATCACCAAAGCTAGTTGGTTTCCTAG